ACTCGTGCTTCACGGGCGTTTTGATCACGACGGTCGACTGACGAGCCAAAAACTTTCTTTTGACCCGTATCACTCTCGCGACCGTTCTGCTACCGTTCGCTCAGCAAGGCGCAGCGTATTGAAGTGGAGCGTCGACAGCATAATGAACAGCTTTTACGTCTCCAGCGGGCTGAAAGAAGCACATAATCAAGTGAAACGGAAGTAACAACACATTGCTGACTTACTAGAAAACTCCTTTCGACAGTATAGGCGATCCAGGGCGTTCTTCGTCTCGCATATTAAGATCCCCCATGTGACCCTACTCTCTCCAGATCTTCCTGGTACCGTAGTTTCAAGATGACATCACGAAAAGCAGCATACGCTTTACTCCCCAACGGAAGTGATTCAGGACGTGAAGAGTTCGGGTGACACTCTGAGACTCCTGAAAGACGTCGAATCCTTGTGCTTATTGAAAATTCAGCCATCACCAGAAACACACCTTCCGCCACTCGTTTCCTAGCCATTTCACGAGATGCCAGTCCATCGAAAATAATGCTCAATAGCGGTACCGTGTACACGCTCTACTTCATCCAGTACGCAACCAAAGCTCCGGCTTCTGTCCGTCGTGAGGGATGCTATTTCTAATCCTTGCATGATCAACCAGTGCAAGGCTCTCCTCAGTCCTTCTATCTCCATTCTCAGGCTATGGTTGCCTGCAGAAAGGGTAAGTCACAATGAAATGAGGTCAGCATCAGAACTCTGAGAAACGACTGACCGCACTGGGACCGATCTAACACTTCGGAGTGCATTATAAGTTTCGTGCACTGGTCTGCGACAACCACCTTTGCTATCTCTGCACTATAGCCTCTACATGCGGGATCTGCAGAAATGACGAGAACATTAGATACTTCAGTTCAGCATTTCTTCACGGTGGCAAGTTATGAACGCGGCCTAGTAAGAGATCAAGAGATATGAAAAGAATATATACGCTTACAGCGCATCAAGCGCATAGATGAATAGAATAATTAACCTGTTGATAAGTGAGCATTCGAAAGTAGATGTCTTGCCACAGTTGCCATAAAATCCGTAAGGTTAATGACTAGTTTACATACTACATACGACATATTTCATGAATGATTGAGTGTAACAAGATCAATATCTACATTCGAGTAGTGATGAGTTGTCAACAACAATGGAAATAAATCAGTAAATTAATAAATAAGCAGCAAAAAAATTGCTTGTGCCGACTGCGCACATCTAAAATCAGGGAAAAGAACTGTATAGTAAGTAGAAGAGTAGACAAAAAACCAAAATACGTTAAAAACTATAACAAATTACATGAAAATAGGCAAATATAAAAAAATTAAAATAGGCAGTGGGTGAGTGACTATTGATCGATGGAGGCGAGAACTGGACGCCAAGATTTTCTTCTGACGACACACCAGGCAACACTTAGAGGCAGCATTGTGAGAGTTTTACGGCGGGAATTTGAACGGAGAATACGAAA